ACAGCTGTAACAAAAATTGAATCTTTTCTTGGTCCTATAACATCCAAGAAAGGTAGATAATCGTCGCTCTTCTTTTCAGAAAGCAAGAGGCCAGAAAAGTGTTTAACAAGTGAGAAGTGCGAGAGAAGAAAATTATTAGCATAGAACTTACATTTACAATTAGCAATTTCAACAGTAAAATGATGAAACCTAGCTGCCAACCTAGTACCGCGTTTAAATTCGTCAAGTCGTAATATCACAGACGAAAGCTAATAGGAGCAATTTACATTACTGTTTACATTATTCGGGCTATTGTCCTCATCTTTGTTGCCATATTTATCACAACGTTTCCGACTTTATTTCGCTCGCCGGGGTAGACTGCTCTAGTTCCACGTGCCATGTCTAATAGATGTCAGTTATCAGTTATCTCCTGTTAATTCCCCTCTCCAAGTTCTCCACTGCCTTACCCAGGTATTAAACTCACAACTCTTAAGGTCCCGTCACTGGATCTGACCAACGCCTTTATCCACTGTGCCATGTGTCCTAAGGCAAATAAAGGGTTCAGTTCGACATTCCAACCACCTGAAGAAGATCGGAACGTACGAATAATGTAAATAGTGTACATAATACCTCATCTCAGAAATATAGACAGATACAGGAACAATTACCATGAAAATATTGACTTCGATACATAAATTCTGTCTTAATGTTTTAGGTAAGGAGTTATCGTTACTAGGTGATGCCAACTAAGATAAGCGGTTGACAAAACGAAGAAACTTTTAAATTATGCGTTTTGTTCAAAGAAGCTGCATTCTTCAGATTAATCATGATTTTTATCGATTTTACAAACAATAGGGAATTGGGGGGGATACAATAAATGCAAGAAATAGAGACAGTCAGATTTAAATTTATCTTTTGTTTTCTAGAGCATCTATCTCGTCCAACTTTTTTTGGGTATTTTTTTGTTTTTGTATATATACTTTTTTGTATATATGTTTTGTATATATTTTTGTATATATATTTTTTTATATACTTTTTTTTTTTATATATATATTTTTGTATATATGTTTTTGTATATATGTTTTTGTATATATTTTTTTTGTATATATTTTTTGTATATATATTTTTGTATATATATTTTTTGTATATATATTTTTTTATATATATTTTTTATATATTTTTTTTATATATATTTTTTTATATTTTATATATATTTTTTGTATATATGTTTTTTGTATATATATTTTGTATATATATATTTTTTATATATATTTTTTGTATATATATTTTTGTATATATGTTTTTATATATATATTTTTTGTATACAATAATATTTTTTTATATATATTTTTTATATATATAAATTTTTTTATATATATTTTTTATATATATTTTTTTAATATATATTTTTGTATATATATTTTTTATATATATTTTTTATTTTTTTTTTATATATATATTGTTTTTTGTTATATATATATTTTTGTATATATATTTTTATATATATATTTTTGTATATATATTTTTTATATATGTTTTTTGTATATATATTTTTTATATATATTTTTTATATATTTTTTTTGTATATATGTTTTGTATATATTTTTTGTATATGCTTTTTTTGTATATATACTTTTTTATATATTTTTTTATATATATGTTTTTATATATACTTTTTGTATATATACTTTTGTATATATGTTTTTTGTATATATTTTTTTGTATATATGTTTTTGTATATATGATTTTTGTATATATACTTTTTTGTATATATATTTTTTATATATATTTTTTTGTATATATACTTTTTGTATATATACTTTTTTTGTATATATATTTTTTATATATATTTTTGTATATATTTTTTGTATATATACTTTTTTGTATATATACTTTTTATATATATAATTTTTATATATATATTTTTTGTATATATATTTTTGTATATATACTTTTTTGTATATATTTTTTTTATATATATTTTTGTATATATGCTTTTTGTATATATACTTTTTGTATATATATTTTTGTATATATTTTTTGTATATATACTTTTTGTATATATACTTTTTGTATATATGTTTTTATATATATTTTTATATATATATTTTTGTATATATGTTTTATATATATTTTTGTATATATATTTTTTGTATATATACTTTTTGTATATATACTTTTTGTATATATACTTTTGTATATATACTTTTTGTATATATACTTTTTGTATATATATTTTTTATATATATTTTTGTATATATGTTTTTGTATATATACTTTTTTGTATATATATTTTTTGTATATATGTTTTTTGTATATATGTTTTTGTATATATATGTTTTTGTATATATACTTTTTTTGTATATATACTTTTTTGTATATATATTTTTGTATATATGTTTTTTGTATATATATATTTTTTTGTATATATATTTTTGTATATATGTTTTTTATATATATTTTTTTGTATATATGTTTTTGTATATATACTTTTTGTATATATGTTTTTGTATATATGCTTTTTGTATATATGTTTTTGTATATATGTTTTTGTATATATGCTTTTTGTATATATGCTTTTTGTATATATGTTTTTGTATATATGTTTTTGTATATATGCTTTTTGTATATATGCTTTTTGTATATATGCTTTTGTATATATGCTTTTTGTATATATGTTTTTGTATATATGCTTCTCTCCATGATCGTGTGATAGATATCTCTCCTTTTCTTACAAACCTTCTTCTGATTCAGTATAAGATAATTAAAATCATATTATAATTATTCCTTAGATAGTTAATGAGTTAGCACGTACGTTACGTCCTGCCAATATCTCATAAATAATGTTTGATTCCATTTTGAACAAGAAAAAAGGCGGAAAGAACATATCAAAGACACTGCTTGGAAAGAAAGAAAGAAAGAATGAATGAATGAATGAATAAGATAGATGAGATGATAACGCTATCATGTGTTTAACATCTGCAAAAGTTGTTAAGCTCGAATGTTTAACGATATAATAGAGGAATTTCAGGCTTATATTTTTTATAGTAATGTAAATTGCAATGAGTTTATTCAATCATTAACTTATAATTCATGAGAAAAAAAAATTCAAATAAGAAAAACGTGAAATTTTCAGGGTACTACTAGTAAAATATATAAAGCTCTCTCTCTCTCTCTTTCTCTCAATATATATATATATATATATATATATATATATATATATATATATATATATATATATATATATAATTGACTCCACCGATTATTAGCCTGAAAAGTTTCTTTCCGAAATGAAATGTGTCACTTAGTCCAATTTCAATTTTGTAATTTTTATCCTTTATCAGTTTGATATATAAAATTGTATATCTTCCAACTAAGATGATCTATTATCTCATGTCTTTTTTAATATTTTGTCTGTATCTTCTTATTCTCGTCCTTATCCCATCCAATCATTGTCTTGATCTAAATCTTATACAAAAATGGATTAGTTTCATACGCAAAAAATTAAAACGAGTGTACAAATATTTTCAAATGAATCACTTTTATCTTTATTTTGTTCGAACTCACAACAAAGAATATTATTATTTTACTCATTTCCTGCCACCTCTAGCTATGGATTAAATAGTAGGATAGACTGGGATTTCTAGCCTTACATAGTAGCCAGTTTAAGAGAAGTATTATTTTAAGTACAAATCCGTTTAGAGAGCTACGGAAACCAGTCCAGTATCTTACAAGAAGTTATTTTAATTAATATTAATAATAATTAATAATACAGGTAAGGAAGACTACATGATCGCCTACATTTTAAGATGACATTGTATTTAAAAAATAAAAAAAACTATAAAAGAACAATCCTCATCTTTTGTTTGTGTTTCATTCCTGTCCATTACCCAGTATGCCACCGTCTTCTTGTTAACAGGAATAAACAAGAGCTGTATTTACATGAGCCATTCTTTTTGTTCCCATCTGCTAACCAGAAACATAACAGCGGGAGGCTGTTATATCTTTTGTTAGTAGAGACAGCTGGAGGCCACCTGCTATCTATATAAAAGTAACATAAGTTTGTGATCAACAGTAATTCTATTGTTATTCTTTTTTATTTTTATTGATCTTATCATTCGCGTCAATTCTACTTAGACAATTATTGTTATAAAAATATTTTATTCTTCTTTCCTCAGCTTTCATTAGACTGAAAATTATACATTTGTTTACCAAACAAGTCCTCCTGCAGATTATAATCATATATTATCATCTATATCAATCTGACATATACAGAGTTAAGTCACCAAAGTTATGCAGCCACATTGATAGAGGAGTTGTATTATTTTCATTGGTTGGTGACATTACGGCTCTATATCGCGTCCGCTTTTATTAATCAATGCTTCAATAAAACCGTTTGTTTATATAGTTGCCCACTTAATTATTTGCTTTTTTCATCTTTATAATCTTTGCTTCCTAGAAATATTTCCCGTACGTTATTTTTTTCTTTCTGTTTTCCTTTCCTTCTGACCCAAACCCGATATCCTCGCATTCAAGAGCGGAAGAGACAAACGGACCTCACCGTTCTTGATTTTACTTCCGGTGACGGAAACTAACGAATGCATGCTGGGAGAACCAAACACACTTAGGACAGAACTGTACGCTCAGAGAGGAAGATATATATATATATATATATATATATATATATATATATATATATATATATATATATATATATATATATATATATATATATATATAAAATTAAATAAGTTTTTTTTATGTTTACTTGTGGCTGATATATCAAAAGGACGGAAGGAAAATATTTATGCAGGATATACATAAGTAAATGTTATTAAATGTTATTTTCTTATAAACATCAGCAAAAGAAGATTGGCGAATAGACATCAAAAAGAGATGTTATCTGAAGCGCATCCGTTTCTGAAGACCGATCTTTTTTTTTATAGACCGTCTTTTTCAAATATGGATGAACTCAACGGAAAACATGATAGAAGAGAATTGATGGAGCAAGATAAATAGACAGAATAGACTTACATAGATGTATAGATAGAGACAGATTGAGATAGATAGATAGATAGATAGATAGATAGATAGATAGATAGATAATAAAGAGAATGAGATAGATAGATAGATAGATAGATAGATAGATAGATAGATAGATAGATAGATAGATAGATAATAAACAGGATGAGATAGATAGATAGATAGATAGATAGATAGATAGATAGATAGATAGATAGATAGAAACAGATTTAGATCGATATATACAGATACAGATTGGGATAGATAGATAGATAGATAGATAGATAGATAGATAGATAGATAGATAGATAGATAGATAGATAGATCGAGATGCAAATAGAATGGTTTACATCGATAATGAACAGATTGAGATAGATAGATAGATAGATAGATAGATAGATAGATAGATAGATAGATAGATAGATAGATAGAGATAAAAATAGAAAAGTTTAGATAGATAATAAACAGAATGAAATAGATAGATAGATAGATAGATAGATAGATAGATAGATAGATAGATAGATACATACATAGATAATAAAACAGAATGAGATAGATAGATGGATCGAGATACAAATAGAATGGTTTAGATAGATAGATAGATAGATAAACAGACAGAATGAGATAGATAATAGATAGATAGATAGATAGATAATAAATAGATAGATAGATAAATAGATAGATATAGATAGATAGATAGATAGAGATACAGACAGATAAAAGTTTAGATAGATAATAAACAGAATGAGATAGATAGATAGATAATAAACAGGATGAGATAGATAGATGGCAAAATAGATAGATAGATAGATAGATAGATAGATAGATACCAGATAGATAGATAAGTTTATGGCGGACAGACAAAAACATAGATTGATAAACACTGAAGGTTTTTTTTTTGTTTTTCAGACAAATAAATCAATGAAAAGTTCGTAGAGTTTTTTGATAAGAAAACAGATCGATATCAACAAACAAGACTTTCTGTATTTAATCATTTCTGAAGACAATCAAATAATAATGGCAAAACAAAGCATTATAATGAAAATTTAATTTCCAAAATCTCCCAAAATATATTTGGCTAAGTAATCAAAATGAACCACACTTTCTTATTTACCAAATATTGATTACCTACTAAGAACTGCAATATTGCAAGAACTTAAATCTCCTGTCTATGATCTAGCAATTAAAGCACTGTGTATACACGTTCGCCTTAGTAAATTATTTTCTCTTTTAATTAAAGTAGCATTTTTAAATCAAAATTATTGTCAGACTCATTAGCAGCTAACATATTGAGTGTCTCCTCTTCTTTGTACGCATGCGTAGTCACATCAACATGAATATACCTTTAGTTCGGTGAAGTTGTCAGGGATGAAATGCGTCACATCAATTTTTTTGCCACTTTGTTATTAATACTCCCAACATTGTTCTGATATATAAAAAAATTATATCGTTTTCCCATATCTTATGGTTACCTTTCTTCTTTTCAAATCACCGCTACTTTCTACATTCATAGCGACTTTAATAGTCTTCTCCTTCGATGCGTCATTTCCCTTCAGAGTGTAGGTGATCATGCCTCTCAAATATTTCATGTCATTTGTAGCCCTTAATAAATGTTATCTTTTTGTTATTTCTCCTAAACCTTGTCCCGCCATTCATTTACTCAAGCTCACTAAGTTACGTGTTGTTTCCCTCTGTAGCGCTTGCCTTCAATCTGTCCAGTGAGTATCAGATTTTCCAAGCCATCTTTCGTCATTATGTGACCTAGAAATTTTAACTGCCTCTTTCTGATGTGAAGTATAAGTCTCCTTTTTGTTTCCATTTTCTCTAAAACTTTTGTCATTTTTCAGTCCATGATATTCTCACCATCCTTCTCTTGAAACATTTCTGTTGCTTCAAGTGTATTCTTCATCTATGATGAAATTGTCCAGTATTTACTACCATATTGATATTACGTGACCGTTCAGTACTCTTTTTTTGTTTGTTTGTTTGTTTCTACATTAGCTTTTAACAGTGTTGTATTTTAAATCGTCTCATTCCTTCGTTGAATCATAAATTATTCTCCGTCCTGGGTATGACAATAAACTGCGTCCAACAGCAAGGCCTCTCTGATCAGGAGGCTTTGAGGAGCGTAGAACCTCTTAATTGCTGATGTTCCCAGGTCCACCCTGACCCAGGGTGGTAGCACCTGTTAGGGTTCCAGCTATGGGCAAATAGTTAACCCCGAAACTGAGGTAAAAAGCATTATGAAAGTGTAAAAATAGGTTTTAATACCAGAAATACTTTGTAAAAAAATTATTACCAGAAATAAATTTTTGAAGAAAAAAATATTACCAGCAATACGTTTTTGAAAAAAAATATTACCAACTATACATTTTTGGGGAAAAAAAATATTACCAGAAATAGAATTTTGACAAAACAAAAATATTAGCAGGAAAAAAAGTTGTTGGCATTAAATGACCCATTGAGGTTTATATGCCGTAAAACAAAACAAACAAACAAATAAATTCTTCCATCCACTTTTGAAGATATTCCCATTGCTCCAATTACAAGTAAAAGTTTACTGAATGTTTGCAACTCGCGAACAGAATCCGAATTTCTGGGATGCTGTATTCTTTACATTCGGACCAGAGCTGGTGCGTACTACCCCAGGGGAAGGTTCAAGCTTGAATGTGGGCCCGGTTAGTGTTTTTTTGTAACCCACGCTATCTTATCAACATTTGCTTTGTTTCAACCTACATTTATATGCATTACAAATTAAACTAAACACAACTGACTGTTTAAGGATGAAAAATTTTCGCGGTTCTTGACGTCATTCTGTTGTTTTTTTTTCATTCAATCCTTGAATTTGTTTTGATGACGCTAAGTCTCGAAAAAAATACTATATAAAATTCACCTTATTTTATTCATAATGTGGGATGTGTTAAAATTATTCAATTTTTCAACAAGAAAAATCTCAAGTTGATCTTAAAAATTGCCGCAAGACATTCTTGACTTATTTAAGATGGAATGATCTATTATGACATGTCTCTAATTTCTATTTAAATACATTGTATTTATTTTCAATCTTTCTACTTGAATTATTCACCTATATTGCATATTGTGCATAATCAGGTTACAAAAAATGTGTACTTTATAGGAATAGTACCTTATGAAAATTGAAATTTAGTAGAGTGCTCCTTGCACCGGCCCTGAGTCGGACTATTATCTTTCTTGTTATTATTACAACGTTTCAGAGGCAGCAGGGCAGCAGCAGGTAGATTAGGTTTAAGACTCCAAGTCCCATGAAACAATAGCTTAGTAGATGGAAGCATTTGTTCGTGAACTTCGTGACATAGTAATTGTAAGTAAAATCCCTGGGACGGGCAGTGAAGATTTAGAGTCAAACGAAACAGAGTAAGTAATAACTAGACAGTACGAAATAAAAAACAAGACGAAATATCATTAGACATGGACAAAGAAATGAGAACAATCTACTCCTGTATATTAAATAAAGGTTTCAGTCCTGTTATTACCTGAAACATCCAAAGAAGCCTGGGTGGGTAACAGAGACAAAAAGGTTGTGATAATCACAGCAGAATTGAAAGCAATAGCCCAAGTGTAAGTAATATAAATAATTTTCTTATTCTTAATAATTTTATCTTGTGGTACACTCGCGAGCCTTTATTTCGCTCCAGACATAGATGATCATCTCTCTGCAGAACTTTCTTTTCTTTTTTTTTCTTGGAGGTAGTTTATGGAGTGGTTTCCTGGTGCATTCTTAACGATTCGAAACGGTCTTCTAGATTGGTTGCCTTGCAAAGGTTACAGAGCCTAATCTATCCTACTAGGTTCAGGGAAGAGGAATGTATTTATAACAGAATGAAGGCAATAGCCTCGCCCGGAATTTGAACTTGTCTACCGATTCCATTTTTTACATTTTTAGCCTCTATGCCACCTGTACAATATGCAATGGAAAACCTGCATTCACTATTTGGTAGATTTTTCTTATCGATTTCGTTGTTCTGGTCTTGATGAGTAGATTCGTTTTAATTTCAAAGTCTCAAAAGAATGGAATAATACGAGGATCTCTACAGCACCCGCTTAATTCCAGACAGAATCAATAAGACTGTATACATCACTTTCATTGTGATTTCACATGTCTTAGAGACTTTGCATTATTATTCAGAACTTTTCTTTTTTCATAATGTCCTGCTTTGCTCATTTATGGAGCCTTGTCCGTCCCTTGCATTTGGGAATGATGGATTTATTTGATGGGCGGAGATCTCTTTCATATATAAGCAGGGACGACAATATTTTTTTTTATCTTGATGTTGACAAATATTCTGTTGGTATATTTCACCATTCTTTCTTGAGCAAAGAACACTTATTACCACGAATATTGTTGTGGTTTTCATGCTACACATTGTTTTCATTTCTATTTTTGTAGTGCTACGGTGTAATCACGTTGAAACACAGGTTCTTGTACGATCGCCGAATTTAAGCAACATTGCGCCTGGCTATTATCTAGATGGGAGACCGCTTGGGAGTACCAATTGCTCCAAGCTTGAATGTGCAGGCCGTGTAATCTATCTAAATTGTATCTAACGCCTCGGAATTGGAAATTGGAGAGCCCTTCAATTCCAGTCGGGTTCGTTATGGCCGCATGTTTCATTTGGGGGGCACAGGCAGAAAAATTCGTTCCTAGTTTGTCTTTCTATATCAGTTCTTTCTTTGACAGTTTGGCTTGGCATGTCTCAGAGAATGGTAGCTTCACTGTTTTCTGCTTCAGTCGATAGCTCATCAAATTTGATGCTATAGTACATTATTATTATTATTATTATTATTATTATTATTATTATTATTATTATTATTAACTCAGTGAATGTCCACAGCAGTCGTAACTGAGGATTTATAATAGCGATCAAGTAAAGGCAAGTTTACTCGATGCTCCAGTACCGTCCTTAGTATTTGAGCTTTTTTTCAGTGTTGTGGATACAACCGACCATTCTTCTTATTTCTTGACGCTCCAGATTTCGTCATAGGCTCTTCAGAATTCTTCATAATGTTCCGATGACGGAAGGGCAGTCATCATCATGTTCAACAACAACCTCAGCCCCTTGGCAAGATCGAAATGTTATCTATTTTTTCGGTTTCCTTTACATTTACTCTGTGGGTTATTATTATTATTATTATCTTTTTATTTTTTTCCTTTGATTTCTGATGTGCACTCATTTCTTTCCAGTTCCCGCCCAGGAACCTAAGGTTAGAAATGCCATCATGACATTATCCACTGTAAAAAAAAAAAAAAAAGGTAAGGTGTGAGCTGTATTCGTGAGAACAATTTTTTGTATTTCTTTAAGTCATGGGCTTCCAAGGATCCCTTCAATTAGTCTACTGGAATCTTTTCCAACCAATCCTAGGGCTCCAACTACAACGGGGATTGGTGATGTTCCCATGTGCCATATTTTTGAGATTTCGGTTTCAAGGTCCTTGTATTTTGATAGCGTTTTGAAGATCTTCAAAGATACAGTCTGCAGGTACTACCATATCAATAAGGAGGCACTTTTTTTGTGTGCGATCTCTAATAACTCTAATTTATTTACTTGTTTTTTTTTTTACCTTGTCTCTTTGCCTAATGAACTCTTTGATAACTTTTCCACCAAAATGTAGTAGGTTTGATATTATTATCATTATCATTATTATTATTATTATTATTATTATTATTTTTGTTGTTGTTGTTGTTGTTAATGTTGTTATTAGTAATAATACCAGTCAGAAATGACAGGATTACTGATGTTTGGTTCGGCACTTCTACCAAGGTTCAGAGTCTTTGCACGTTCTTCCAGTGATTGAAAAAGTGTTTTTCAATGCCCCCAAATTTCTCATTCTGT